ATCCATACATACCATACATACATACATACATACATACCATAACATACATACATACCATACCATACATACATACCATACCATACATACATACCATACCATACATACATACCATACCATACATACATACCATACCATACATACATACCATACCATACATACATACATACATACCATACATACATACATACATACATAACATACATACATACCATACATACATACAATACATACCATACATACATACATACCATACATACATACATACCATACATACATACCATACATACATACCATACATACATACCATACATACATACCATACATACATACCATACATACATACCATACATACATACCATACATACTTACCATACATACATACCATACATACATACCATACATACATACCATACATACATACCATACATACATACCATACATACATCCCATACATACATACCATACATACATACCATACATACATACCATACATACATACCATACATACATACCATACATACATACCATACATACATACATACCATACATACATTACATACCATACATACATTACATACATACATACATTACATACATACATTACATACATACATACATTACATACATACATTACATACATACATTACATACATACATTACATACATACATTAATACATACATACATACATACATACATTAATACATACATACATTAATACATACATACATTAATACATACATACATACATACAAACATAACGGTCCGTTTCAGTTCGCGACCTTCAGAACGGGTGCACTGCAGACACACCTTTTTGGCCTGGTTTGGCTGTCGACCCTGTCTCAGCTGTCTGCAAGCCTCTGCATCTGGCGTTGCCATTATGCCAGAGCAGTGGTACAACTGGACATGAGTGCTCGTATGGCCTCTTGAAAAAGAAGGTGAGGGATTTGGGTGGGTGCTGAAAAATTGGACCTCGAGCCTTATGTCTGCCCGAGGTCCCCACAGTCCACTACCCTCCATGTTCTTACGCACATTTGTGCTGCAAAACATAACGGTCCGTTTCAGTTCGCGACCTTCAGAACGGGTGCACTGCAGACACACCTTTTTGGCCTGGTTTGGCTGTCGACCCTGTCTCAGCTGTCTGCAAGCCTCTGCATCTGGCGTTGCCATTATGCCACACTGGCGCCAGATCTCCCGCTTTTCCAGTGTGACCGTGCTGAGTGTGGAGGACTGAAATGGCCATGATGTCTTGAAGAGCTGGACCATAAGTGTAGTTGTGGTCTGCAGCTGCATGTTTCAGACATGTGAACAGTGCTTCCGTGTAGACAGAGTCCTGCTTTGCCCCAATCTGGTACATCTCTTCGAAGGTTTGTCGTGACACCTTGTCGCTGATGTTGAGTTGTGAAGCGACCCATTCAAGGTGTAGGTTCCAGCCTTTCATGGCGATGAGCCGCCATGTGATCGCAATCAGGTTGCAGATGGCTTCATCCTTGCAGTAACCCTTCTTTAATGCAAAGAAGCCCGATGAATTGTCGATGAACGAGATCACCAGGTTCGACTCAATGTCTCGACATGCCAGGAAGGCGATCAACTGTGCAAGCACTTCCAGGAAGTAGATGTATGCCTTTCTGGTACAAAACTTCTGTATGAGCCAAGGAGGTACTCGGCCCGCTCCGAAGCGTGTCTGACCCTGATGGTGTATGACATAACCCCACCCGTTCTCCATGTACGGGCATGCCTTCTTGTTCCATGTCGTCACTGAGTCGGCGTCGCTCAAGGAGTACTGTTTGTCATTGAGCACGAAGTATGCATCAGTGTAAATGACGATGGCAGGTTGCTGGCACGTTCTGGGGATTGTTCTTGGGCTGATCTCCGTGAGCAATGTGGCCAATGTCCGTAGCGAGGCTGCCAACGGACCATTGAGTGCATCAGAATGGTTCGCCCTAGATGCGCCATGAGCTCTGGCGTAAATGGGCTGCAGGGCGGCCCGCCCCAATTGTCCGAAAAGTGTTGAGGTCAGGAATGTGAGTTTTCCTGCCATTCTGTGGGCATTGTCTGGTGACAATGCGTTGGATTGGATGGCCTCCTGGATGATCTTGATCATCTTGTCACATCTGGTTGGATGTGGTGCCAATATGACCTCGTCTTCTGTCAGCGTCATGTTGACCCCCAGAACCTTTTGCGTCGTGGCTGGTGGAAGGGCTTTGGCCTCCTTCATTCGGAATCCCAATACCCGCATGAGCCTGGTAAACTGATCATACCCGCTGACGACCAGAGAGGAGGCTTCGATTCCAATGAAATCATCGACATAGTGGCCGACCGTGCATGCCAGCAATCTCCTGCTGAGAAACACCAGGCTGTCTGCAGCGCGGTTGAAGTTCCAAACAGAGCTTGTCGCACCGAACATGAGTGCGTGGTGTCTCAGTACTAGCGGTCCACGTGGGGTCATGAGGACGCAGAAGCAGTCGTCCGGATTTTGCACTGGAAATTGGCGGTATGCACCGTTGAGGTCCTGTGCCCAAATTTTGGGCGGGACATCAGTTTGTTCTTGACACAGTGCCAGTGCCGTGAAAGCTCTGATGTCATGATGGTGCGGCACATCGTAGGCCACGATCGTTGAATTGTGTCCAGACCGTCGGAAATCTTCACAGCGGCGGACTTTGTCAGTCTGCCTGACGCTGAAGCAGAAACTGAATGCCACTTCTTCGTTGGGTAGCTGCAGCATTTGTCGGTCATCCATGCCGATGCTGCTCATAGGCCACCATGATGGTGAAGTGTACGGACCTGACATGCGTCCCTTCCGGACTTCTTCTTGGAGTTCCTGCAGCATTGTCTCTCACTCAGGATCGACCCTCCGCCCCTGCAGCTTTGCCATCGTGTAGTGGCGGTTGTGTACTTGGAAAGCCTGTTCCTTCACCGGGAACTCATATCGTTGATCTGCCCGGGGAAGCCAGCCCGCTCCCGGGTTCAGGGTGCCAGTCACGGCAAATCCGTGCTGGAGATCATGTGCCAGAGCCGGCAGCTGTGGCATCCCTGTCTGGTGCAGAAGGTCGATGAGCAGCGGGATCTGCGAAATCTGGTCATGTTCTTGGCTGTAGTAGACGTTGGCAATATGAGCTGGGAGCTGCTGCCACCATGCTCGAGTAGCCTCGCTGCGTTCATCAGCGAGCTCCTGGATCTCATTCACAATTTCGTGTCGTAGCTTGTTGAGACTGCCCCCAATTAGCTGTTGCACTTCGAGGCATTGTGACCAGCCTGGTTCGATCTGTGGCCTGTGGGCTAGAGGGTGAATGGCGCCGCATGCCATTTCCCAATGCTCCCACATGGATCCAGCCTGAGGCACGCACACAGGCTCGCAGTTCCAGTGCCCCGGGCCCACTGCCGGGGGGAACCGCTCAACAACTTCCAGCATCATTTGCAGTGCTGATCTCCGAGGTGAGGTTGGAATGTCCTCTGCCGAAATGGTCAGGATCATCTGCAGGACCAACATGAGCATGAACCTGGCTGTGCCAATATGCCACCCGTTGCCCAGCAGCCGATGTCTGGATCTTTCGGCCACCCCGTCTGCCTCCGTGTAGTTGGGTGGGAGCTGGTGCAGCTGCTCTTTCAGTTTTGCAGATGGCACATGTAACTCACCTTTGGTAGACAATACCATGGCCTCTTCAGAGTATTGCCAGGGCGCGTAGGTGCGGTTGTCATTGAGCCACCGCATCTTCTGGTCCGGGGGAATAGTACCCCTCATTCTCTTTGGTGGAGGGCGTCCGCCTTCGCAGGGCGCTGGGGTTGTCAGACATGGGATCCTGGTCTTGTGGGACGCAACATCAGGGTGAAGGCTCATCCCATCCATGTCGAGGTCTTGTTCTTCTTGATGCTTAACATCTTGTTGAAGCTTGTAGAACTTGTGAGACTTCCCCCATTGGAGGCGTTGCCCTGTGACTGGGCTCGCCTTGATGTGGCTCCAGTCAACTCGTGTCCACCACAACCTGGGTCGACTGATAAGGCCAAAGTCCTGGGCGTCTGCCATGACTGTGTTGCCTTTGAGCTTCTTGGCGAAGAAGTCGGCCTCACCCTTCTCCATGACCACGTTCTCTGTCAAATGACCCACGCGCCTGTGAGGTATGCGCGATTCAATGTCTGCCACAAAATCGCAGTACGCTGTGAATTTCTGACCCTCAGCTCCTGCTGATCCAGGGGCGTCATCCCGGATTCTGGAAAAATCTGGGCATGGAGGTGCAGCCAGGAACAATACGATCTGCTTCCCGGTGGGGTCATGTTGAATGATGGCGTCAGCAACAGCCTGTGGGTCATCCTCCAAGAAGTTGCCACGAGCTTGGGCCTCTGGGTGGTGTTTGTGGAGGATTGCCAGGCAATCTGGATCGACTTCCCAAGAGAGGTGTAGGTCAATCCCGTCCACCAATTCGGCCAGGGCTAGGGCGGAGGACCCGATGCCGTCGAAGCAGCTGAGGAGAATGACCCGCTCTGCTATCTTCTGAAAGCTCGGTTGGGAGCTGTCAGGGGTGTGTTGTTGTGTTGGCGGCTGTCCTGTGTCGTCGGGTATCGTGGGTGCCGTCCAGCCCACGACCCCGTGCTGTCCCTATTTCTGGGCCTGCCGCCAGTCCGAAGACCAGGACTCCTTGCTCCAATTCTTGTCATCAGTCCTCTGCGAGGTTGGCCACTGCGCTTTCTGGTCAGCGCGATCTGAGTTCGGTGTACCCCATGGCTTCTGTGTGCGGCCATAGGGGTTCGTTCTTGCATTCTTGCCCGACTTGGTGTTGCCCTTGCCATATCCTTTCTGTTCATTCTTTGGCGTGGGCGGAGGCGTTTGTGTCCGCTTGAGTGTCTGTGTGGGCTCTCGGCTCATGCATTCCGAGAACGCATCATAGTCCTTCATGAGCGTGGTGGTGCTCTCGACGAAGGTCTTGCCTGCTCTCATGTCAAGCGCCAGCTTCCATGAAGTGGACATCCAAAACTGTGCCATCTGGTCTGTTTTGTTTGGTCTGCTCCTGACCAAGCGTACCAACCAGTCAAAGAATGCATGAATGGCCTGTTCGGAGCCCAGCTTGCACAGGATGTAGCACCACTTGATGCTGGAGAGTCCATCCAGGATTGCCAAGACACTCCTGGGTTGCCAAGGCTCCTCTGGCGTAGCCACCAGCTGCTCTCCGGTCAGTGTCAATTTCGTGACACTCCTGTCCTTCTTGGCGAGGGGATTGGGTTCCCCATTCGCCTGGAAGGTTCGGATGGAGATGATCTCACCCAACTGGACCGGGGTGTACATCTTGCTGACTTCATGCTCGTGCAAGACCCGTGCTATGATCGCCTCCGCACCTAACACTTCTTGTGTCGGGAAGATGCGGTCCTCATTGCCGATCTGTTGACTCTGGTACTCCTGGATCAATTTGGCCCAACGGCCAGGGGCCAACGCCTTTGGCACCTTGTCTTCGGTGGCCGTGGAGGCCGATGGTGTCGTGGCTGTCGGTGTTGCTGCTTGAAGCGGCCGTATTGCTGCCTGTGAGATGGCCCAGTAATTCTGCTGGGCCATCATCCACATATGCATGATCACTGCTCTTGCTATGGGCTTGTCGGAGTCTGGCACAGACAGTGTGGTTCCATCGGCCCTTGGCCAACCCTGGAGCAGGGGTTGGACTAACGTATTCTCGAGGTCTTGCTCGTCTTTGCTGATCAGGGCAAGGGTTGCAGAGGTTTTGATTCCCCGCAACTCCATGTACTCTATGATGGTCGCGCCCGCTGCCGCGTCACGAGCGATGTCCTGCAGCGACAGCGCCGCTGGAGTCGTCGCCATCTCGGTAGGCTATATGGTCGTGCTCGGCCAGTCTGCGGTCATGAACATGAACCCACTGTCATGTCATGCCATATGTGATTGGTTGTCTGCGAAGCAACTGAATGAGAACCTGACCTAAGAAGCCTAACAACAGACCAAAGACGACACGAAAACCACAGCGACTCAACCGACAACCCGAATGAAAACATGACAGCAAAGCAAATGATGGTGAAGTCAAGGTGTTTCGAATGTCAAAACTGAACATGTGACAGCGCATGGCGGCAGGCAACTCTGTTTCTTCGGCGATGAGTCTGTACAGCCATCCTTCTGTGGCTGATGACAAGCTATTGTCTGGAGAAATAAAACTCTGTGGTGACGCAAGGGCCGCCTGCCTTGACCACACTGTGTCACTCGTCTTCGTCCGCTGAGGAAGACTCAAGGGCTGACAGCTCGGAGGAATCGTCGCTCTGCGAGCTGGACTGATCGTCCATGTCGAAACATTTCTTGCATTTCCGGTTGCCGTCTTGTTCCGTATGTGTCCTCAGGAAGGTGCTGGTTCCGTAGGTCCAACCGCACATTGTGCGCCATTTCCTGGGTTCATTGTCTGCCTCATTCACCGCGGCCTTGTGCAAGATTTTGGCACGTGGCCTGAACACGAAGGTCTGTGGTGGCCGGTGAATGGCCTGCTTGACTTGCTCCATTTCTGCCTGGAGTGCCCTCACGGATGAGGCAGAGGCCTTTGGTCTGGCCGCCTTCACAACCGGTGCTGCGGCTGGGGCTGCAGGTGGACCTTCGTGACCCGGTGGTTCCAGTCGCAACTGGACGGGTTGACTTGCTGATTCGCCGCCGCCCAGTACCTGGCTCGGTATGCTGGGGACCCGAAGCAAAGCACTGTCCTGCGTGTAGCGTAGGACAGCAGTGCTGGTCCAGCGACCCAATAGCTGGATCAATGCCAGCTCCACACCAGAGCTCGACAACATTTGAGCCCCCGCAATGCGGAGACAATGTCCATGGAACCTCTGAGTCTCTTGTCCATCCGGTCCTGGCCTGGTCATGCATGTGCCGGTTCTGGAGATGACCATCCGGATTGCCTCAATGAACCTCTGTTTGGAGGCGGTGCGGCCATTTTCATCTGGGAAAAGGGGAAACTGAAGGCCTCCTTCACGAGCTGGATGGGCCTCAAGCCTGACCAAGTGTCTTTCTGTGCTGTGCCACACGCACAGATTGTGCTGCTTCACGCTGCAGCTGCATGAAAGAGCCCGCACGGTGAACTTGCCCAAGGGATCAGTCTTGTGTACTGGGATGGTGAGAAAAGCATTCCGCCCTTGCAGGCGTATGTCGCTTGCTCTTGCGTTGGCCATCTCTGCCTCGCGCAACATGAACCACAAGCCTATCACCGCCATATCCCTGCAGTGTAGGATATCCTCGAAGGAGAACGCGGCACCATCCTCCTTGGGCTCTATGTTGCCGATGAGGAGGCCATTGAAGGAGTCCTTCAGTTGGCTGACACCAAGACCCCTTTGAATGGGCCTGACACAGTCCTTGATCCCTTGTTTCACTATCTGTGGGACTGGAGTGCGCAAGGCACGCTGTTGGTGTGACATCACCGCCTGGTAGTAGATGGCAGCGCTCTTGTAACCTCCGGCTTTCATTGAGGCTCCAAAGCACCGGACGTTGGTGGTGTCTAGAGGAAACGCAGGCACTTCCCAGGCTCTGCATATCGCTAGATATGTCCGGATCCTCGCCTCAATCGCCGGGTGAGTAGAGCGAGCCAAGACATCTCTGTCTAACTCCTGTAGTGCACGTTGCCTCTGATTGGGCTGTGCTGCCTCCAGCGCTGCCTGGAGGTTGGCTCTCTTGCCAACATTGCGTGTTGGCAGGTCCGGGCGAGTGTCGGCCGTCCTGTCCTCCTCTGGGCCCGCTGCCAGAGGAGTGGAAGCAGCCAGGATCGCCTCGATTTGCCACCTCAACAACCCGGAGGCATGGAGCTCGTCTGCCCGAAGCACCAGCTGGTTCAGGCTCGTGATACCATGGCGGACAAGCTGAGGAGCTAACTCCTCTAGCCCTGCGCGCCGCAGGGAGTCCCACAGTTCCCCTATGCTTGACATGGAAAGTGCTAGTTGAGTGAAATCAGTACAATTGCAACGAAAGCAAGAAACATGTAACTGCAAGTGCATGACAAATCCGGCATCTAACAGTGACTGCAACAACGGTGCAAACTCCCTAATGAAGAAAGACCTAGACTCCTAGGGCGATGAGCCCACCTACATGGTAGAGAAGAGGGGGAGAGATGTGTGACAGAGGGGCAATGAAGACAGTACACAATCACTGTGTGCTATTTTGCGTCAAAGCGGCCTGACAATCGGTTGATATCCTGAGTGTGGCATGATTCATACCGCACAAAAATGATCTCGACACCTCGTCGAGTTGAAGGGTGTCTCACTGGGACTGGTCCATCTCTGCGGTATGATGCTGCGTGAGCAAAGCCGTTTGCATGCGCAGCTGGTAGCCCTTCAGAGCTCTTTGTATGACGTCGAGAGTGGGAAACAAGTCATAGTATCTAAGTTCCTCTATGCATAGGATGACCGAAACTAGCTTTCGATCATGTCGTAGTCCTGACTCTCGATCCAATGTGGTGCGCCATCGTGTCATGTGGTCGGTGGCTGTTTCCAATTCTGCAGCTAAGGTCATGATGGCCTGATGGGTTTCCTGACCCGTGGGGTGAGAGGAACCCTGACACCACTGAAAGTCGCCCTCGGCCAATGCAGCCATGGACTCGGCAGCCAAAGGGTCTAACGTTGCCATCATCTGTGTCAACGTTGTGGCCATGGTACGGATGGGGTTGCTCTCACCCTGCATCCATTGGTTCACGGCGGCCGTTGTGGCCAGGAGAAGGATGCCCACTATCGGGCTGGAGGCAGCCTCAGGAAAGCACGCGTTGCGCGCATTCTGGGAGTCTGCCACCTTCTCCATGAGATCCATGGCAAGTGCGGCCATGGCGGCACGGGTCCTACTTTACCTGCTGAAAAATTGGACCTCGAGCCTTATGTCTGCCCGAGGTCCCCACAGTCCACTACCCTCCATGTTCTTACGCACATTTGTGCTGCAATACATACATAAATACACTACATACATTACATACATTACATACATTACATACATACATTACATACATTACATACATTACATACATACATACATACATTACATACATACATACATACATTACATACATACATACATACATACATTACATACATACATACATACATACATACATACATACATTACATAAATACATACATACATACATACATTACATACATTACATACATTACATACATTACATACATTACATACATTACATACATTACATACATTACATACATTACATACATTACATACATTACATACATTACATACATTACATACATTACATACATTACATACCTTACATACATTACATACACTACATACATTACATACAATACATACATTACATACATTACATACATTACATACATTACATACATTACATACATTACTTACATTACATACATTACATACACTACATACATTACATACATTACATACATTACATACATTACATACATTACATACATTACATCCATTACATACATTACATACATTACATACATTACATACATTACATACATTACATACATTACATACATTACATACATTACATACATTACATACATACATACATACATACATACATACATACATACATACATACATACATACATACATACCAATACATACATACCAATACATACATACCAATACATACATACCAATACATACATACCAATACATACATACCAATACATACATACATACATACATACATACATACCATTACATACCATTACATACCATTACATACCATTACATACCATTACATACCATTACATACCATTACATACCATTACATACCATTACATACCATTACATACCATTACATACCATTACATACCATTACATACCATTACATACCATTACATACCCTTACATACCATTACATACCATTACATACCATTACATACCATTACATACCATTACATACCATTACATACCATTACATACCATTACATACCATTACATACCATTACATTACATTACATTACATTACATACATACATACATACATACATACATACATATTATACCTGCTTGGTGGTTTCAACCCCTCTGAAAAATATGAGTCCGTCAGTTGGGATGATGACATTCCCAATATGATGGGAAAGTCATGATCCATTCATGTTCCAAACCACCAACCAGATACTCATTTATACATCCAGTAAGAAAGTATTCACTGACTACGGATGTGATCCAAGGACCCAACGAAACACTGCCCGCCGCTGCGGACCTGCGTCTTCAGATCCTTCATCTCTGCCTCGGCTTGGTCCCTCTCCTCAGGAACGCTGTTGCGTTGCGGCCTAATTGGGGCTAGAAAAATTGGGGCTGAAAACCACGAAACCAATACAATATAGAATAATTATATGGTTTTCAGATATAGAATATCTGATATAGAATGATATATCTGATATAGAATGATATATCTGATATAGAATGATATAGATATATGTCATACATCTACTACATCTTTAGAAAGTACATTGTCTTTAGAAAGTACATTGTCTTTAGAAAGTACATCTGATTGTTAAAAAAAAAACTTGTTGCTACACATCCAATATGTGATAGAACAATACTATAGATGTATACCAAGTATAAGGATTTGATACTTTCTAAAGACACTTATACTAATTGTGTAAAGCAAGCGCACGATCAATGGCATCCATAATGATCATGATTCTGATGTGTTTAAGAAATGTGAACTCTATGAGTCAACAACATAAATCAAATCCATCTGCCAATTCCAGACATCTTTGACTCTCCAAGTCTTATCATTCCCAGAGTGCTCCTGACTCATCTTGTCCCATTGAGACTTCAAGTCTCCAAGTTCTCCTAAGTGCATAAATGCTTCGGTTCACCACAGTGGGAATGATGGAATTATTCAGTATATGATCAACTATATATATATATGTATTAGATTGGATAGATGTCAACTATAGACTATCTCCTATCAACATCATCTATAATATATTTACTGGTTGGTGGTTGACCTAGCCCTCTGAAAAATATGAGTTCGTCAGTTGGGATGATGAAATTCCCAATATATGGAAAAATAACAAATGATGCTCCAAGCCACCAACCAGTATATAGATAGGAGTCCTTAATATCTTATAACTATTAGGACCATAGTTAATGAATGGGATTATTCATCATACCATCTGGTAAAACTAACAGTTTGCCATGGCAAATCACCATCTTTAATAGATAAATCAGCGAACTACATGGGCCATGGCTTCAATAGCAAACTGAAACAAATTACCAGAGGGTATGTGATGTGGCTATTTGGCAAAACCCGATCAGTACCCATGTGTGAACATCCAAATAGTTGGCAAAAGGATGTTCATATCTTAGATGTGGAGACAAATATCTTAGCTTTCATCCATCTTATGACACATAAATATATACAGTATATATATATGTCATACCCATGTGTGATGTGGCAAATAGTTCATCCTCCTTTGCAAAAAATGTGCCATCCCGCAAGTCCAGCAAGTCAAATCCTTTCAGCCATGCACCGGGCATGTTTGGCAAGAATTGGAGGGCAAAAACAGAATCGGATACCAATGGTATTACATGGTATTACCCTCTGGTAAACATACAAAAAACTATGGAAAGATCCACCATTTTGTAGCTGGGAAAACTCACTATTTCTATGGCCATTTTCAATAGCAAACAGTTAGTTTACCAGAGGGTAAAAGCACATGGATTCTCTGGCTGCGCTGGTAGAAACATTGGGGGTACAGTCGATGTATCGCCCCTTGGCAAATCCATCTCAGACCGACCAGCCCAGAGGTTTTGTTGGGGAAAAATGACTCTGAAAGGAACCAGAAGACCGATCATAAGACCACTCATTCTGGTTGTTTCCAAAGCACCCAAACAAATTCCCCCAGTTCCGGCAATCTCTGTGTTTTCGTTTCCAACGTGTCAACTAGTGTCAACAGCGTCAACCGGGTTGACACCGTGTCTCAAGTCTCAAGGCAGACTGGTGTCAAACTCGAATGACGATCATATCTCTGTTTAAAAAAAAATGTATTATAGAACTCCCATTGAAGTTCTTCAAAACCATATACAAATACAGAATACATATAGATAAATATGATGGGATCACCAAAGATCCAAGGAGCTCTTGTAGTCACCGAAGATGTCTCGAAGTTTTTGCTCTTTGAGGGTCACCTTTTTGGCCATTTCCTCCAAGGCATCGCTCGCCTTGCCGAACTCCGTGATGGACTTCTGGTGATCTTCACCTCAAACGCTGCGGTGGTTCGGGTGCTTCCCGGTGGTTGTGACGGTTTTTGTGTAGAGCCAGGTTCATCCTAGTTATATATCATGTTGTCTATCATGTTATCTATCATGTTATATATCATGTTATATACCATGCTATATATCATGTTATATATCATATTAAACCCCCTGTCAATTAAGGGTTGGGGCTGTGCAACCATTTTGTAGTGAAGAAACGGCCTGCATAGCCTCAAGCTCTACTAAATGGATGTGCATGCATGATCGAATTTCACTACTAAATGTGGGCCCCTGGTTCAGCTGAAGCGCAAAATTTGGATATATTTTCAGTGTCTTAAGACGCCAACATGACTCGACCAAACACCCTGTTCCATTTAGTAGAAGTACTCATTTGAGCACAAGTTGCGGGACCAACATCACTCGACCAAAACCCCAAAGCCATTTAGTAGAGAAATACACGGGGTCCATTTAGTAGAGAAAACAACATGAAACACATATGACTGATCCCATGACCATCCATCTAGTAGAGGCAGCACTTGGCTAAACAGGGAAAATATTGATAGATTTTGGACATTTTGGGGCTACAAAATGGTGTTCCATAGCACGTAAGGGATAATAGTGCACACAAGGATGCAACAGGGCTTTGTTTGAAACAGTTCTAGATAGACTGATCCCATGAACATCCATTTAGTAAGCACCCGACGAGCAAGAAACACCCAAGCGAGGGATTTGGCCGCCCCCAAAAAAGGCAAAAAAAGAACCCAAACACGAAAGGCAGCACCCGACGAGCAAGAAACACCCAAGCGAGGGATTTGGCATCGCCCCCAAAAAAGGCAAGGCAGCACTTGGCTAGACAGGGAAAATCTTGATAGAAATTGGACATTTTGGGACTACAAAATGGTGTTCCATAGCACGTAAGGGATAATAGGGCACACAAGGATGCAACAGGGCTTTGTTTGAAACAGTTCTAGATAGACTGATCCCATGACCATCCATTTAGTAAGCACCCGACGAGCAAGAAACACCCAAGCGAGGGATTTGGCATCGCCCCCAAAAAAGGCAACAAAAGAACCCAAGCACGAAAGGCAGCACCCGACGAGCAAGAAACACCCAAGCGAGGGATTTGGCATCGCCCCCCAAAAAACGCAAAAAAAAACAAACACGAAAGGCAGCACCCGACGAGCAAGAAACACCCAAGCGAGGGATTTGGCATCCGCCCCCAAAAAAGGCAAGGCAGCACTTGGCTAGACGGGGAAAATCTTGATAGAATTTGAACATTTTGGGACTACAAAATGGTGTTCCATAGCACGTAAGGGATAATAGGGCACACAAGGATGCAACAGGGCTTTGTTTGAAACAATTCTAGATAGACTGATCCCATGACCATCCATTTAGTAAGCACCCGACGAGCAAGAAACACCCAAGCGAGGGATTTGGCATCGCCCCCAAAAAAGGCAAAAAAAGAACCCAAACACGAAAGGCAGCACCCGACGAGCAAGAAACACCCAAGCGAGGGATTTGGCATCGCCCCCCAAAAAAGGCAACAAAAGAACCCAAGCACGAAAGGCAGCACCCGACGAGCAAGAAACACCCAAGCGAGGGATTTGGCATCGCCCCCCAAAAAACGCAAAAAACAACAAACACGAAAGGCAGCACCCGACGAGCAAGAAACACCCAAGCGAGGGATTTGGCATCGCCCCCAAAAAAGGCAAGGCAGCACTTGGCTAGACAGGGGAAATCTTGATAGAATTTGGACATTTTGGGACTACAAAATGGCGTTGCATAGCGCGTAAGGGATTATAGGGCACACAAGGATGCAACAGGGCTTTGTTTGAAACAGTTCTAGATAGACTGATCCCATGACCATCCATTTAGTAGAGGCAGCACTTGGCTAGACTGGAGGCGGCATGGCAGGATACCGCAAGGATGCTATCTTTGTCCAATTTCTGTTTTTTCATATCGCGGTATACCCGATCATGTTGATTTACTTCAACCCAGGAATATCTTTGATATTCATTGGCATTCTAGAATTTATATTTATTTTTCAAGCTTCTTATTTGTTTGAGCATCTATTATCATATACTATCTGGATTTACGTGATTCATCCTGATGGACATGGATTGGCCAAACGACTATCGGGGGCAACGGAATGGGAATCTCTACTAAATGGTTTTTCAGTTTTGTCTCGTGTCATTGTGACCGTTTTATGAACTCTACTTCGCAACCTCTACTAAATGGTTCCTGTGATTTTGCAACATTTTTTTGACATCTCTACTAAATGGTTTTACCCAAAAAACAACATTTGACATCATATGATTAACATATCATTTTTACCTCACTACTAAATGTGGATCATGGGTCTAGAGATGTTTACTTGATTTTTTTTGAAAAATCATGATTCTCTACTAAATGGTTTCTGGAAATTTCACACTAAATTTTTGGTTCACTTTCCGGGACCTAGGTCATAGCATTTAGTAGTGGAAATTGGCAGGAGGATTCATATTATATATCATATTATATATATATCATATTATATTTATTCGAATAGATATACTCACAACATCTAATATTTATCATGAACGATACCTGCAATAATAAGCATTAGATATATACTAGTTCGAAAGATCTACAGTGCCAAAAACCCTTGTAAACCCCAACGACCATCAGTGCCATAAACCATGAGGACTGCCAAAAAAATCGTTATTCAAAAACTTTCCTTGGTAAACCTCCATATTTTCAAGGCCTAAGTAATCTAAGTGTCAACTCAACTGCTCCCAGCGGCCCCAACCCCAGACCTGCTTTGGAGTGCTTCGCCGCCGCCGTATCCACTTGGAGCATCAGATCGCGCGTGGCCTTGGCCTTGGTTGCGACAAAGTCCGTCTGCGTCTGCATCGCCTGGATAACCGGGATGGGGAGGTCACGTCAAGTGGCAACCGTGGAACCCATGGGATTGATTGTTGCACAAAGCATGTGAATATATATATATGCAAGAATGTGTGTATGATTGTATGTATGTATGTGTGTATTTATGAATGCGTGTATGAATGCGTGAATGTATGTATGTATGTGTGTGTGAATCGGAGGTTATCTCCCCGGTTATATGTTCTTGGCTGTTATAGAAGGCTGTTGATTTCCCTCACCAGTGATGACGAACGAACAACGGTTTCGGCATTGCATCCTTTTTACGTGGAGCTGGCAGCATCTTGAGCCAAAGGTGGCAAGTGTATGCGACCCTTGGCTGTGGACGATTGAAGGTTATTTACATTGGGAATATACATCATGCCGTAGCCTACATCCCATTCGCACCCCCCACGCATGGCCAACTTTGTTGGCCACGCGCAAAGGAGTGTCCCTTAAATTGATCCACTTCGTCTGCAGCTGTTCATTTGTTGAATTATGGAGAGCTAAAGTCCGTTCAGAACTTCAAATCTACATGGCGGCTTGCTACGATCTCTACCAAAAGATAAAGGTTCTGTTCACGTGCATGTCGACACGATGTAGTCGGTGTCAAGCATTGAGGTTCATCCGATGTGGCGTAGCCAGCATGGAGTCCCACTCAAGCATGTGAATTAAAAAAATCAAAACACAAAGATGACTATGGAACTAGAAGTTTACCTTCCCGTTCCTTCGTCGGTTGAGACGTAGACCGCTGTAGAAACTCAGCGTATCGTGCAATGATGTTCAAAAAAATGTGGTTCTAAATTAGCCGGCTCAGAGTCCTCTCAGAAATCATTCAAAATGAAGTAGAGATAAATCTCGAGCAATGATTGCATCCTCGCATCGCCAGGTTCAATCAGGACCTATGCAGAGGTCATATCGATTTATCATCTATATCCCCATCCATAGTATCCATGTTGGTTCCAGTCGCCACCACGGTGTGAATAAGATCTTCCACCTTTCCCTTGGTCTTTTCCACCTTTCTGTGGCGGGGTTACTGGAGCTTGTTTTGGCGGAGGAGCGGCTTCGACGGTTCTCCATGTTGCTGATGATGATGCTTTCGCTTTTGACACTCTGCCCAGTGCTGGTGCTGCCTTCGGGGCTGCTTTCGATTTGCCAGCGGCCGGGTTAGCACGTTCACGATCGGCAGGAATCGGGGTATCAGCAATCGCAAGTATGTGAGCTTCTGACATGTGGATGCCCCATCTTGGTCGTTGATCATCCCGTTGCTTGATGTGGTTGTAGTCATTGATTGCATCATACAGCTTCTGGAGTAGAGGTCGTGGCAATTGCCGGCCATTTTGAAGGATCAGATGCAAAACTGAAATTCTTCGAAGTGGAGGTCGAAGAGCACACACAATGTCAACTGGGTTCAGTGTGATCGTGTCTTGAAAGTCGACGTTCCTGAAGAAATAAACAGCATTCACTCTGTATGCACCTGCAATGATTCTTCTGACCAGGACATCTTGTCGGTCAAGGGCTTCGCGGGCGGCTGTGGTCTTTCTCATCTCATCCCTTGTTGAGTCACGTTTCGACAGTTTCTCCATCTCTTCATCGAAGAAGATATTTTGCAGGTCTTCATATGTGTAACCGCATTCAAGGGTGTATACGAGAAGTCGCTTAAGTACCACTGCCCCATAGTATGCATTGACGAATCCCTCTTCCCCGATGTCGTCCCTTTGTTGTGGTCGGCCGATCTCCTGGTAGAGCTCTTTCATCTGTTGTGCAGTTGGTTCGATGAGTTCACCATTTTCATCCTCACCTAGGTATGGCACTCTTGAATCCAAGTCCATCCTGAATTTCCGGTTCTGTTGAAAGTGTTTCCATGCCGTCTCGATGTCTCCACAGAAGTTCCGTTGGAATAGTCTGTAGATCCTGACGATATGTAACCCAATCTGTAACAGGAGGATTTTGATGAGCTCCGGCTGAGCATCTCCAATTGTGCAAGGCTCGATTGGCAGGACCTTTGATCCAAACTCAATCCTCTTCATCCACTTGGGGTACTCAATCACTGCATCATGAGCTTCTCCAGCCTCGTACTCCTCGATGTTGATTTCATCGACCTCTATCTCTTCATCGTCATTCTCATCGGTCTGTTTTCCTTCCTCATTGAGAAATTTGTCGACCTCATCTTGCTCTCTGAAGTCTCTTCTCTCGTCATTGATGTCGCCCTTCTTCGAGGCTTGATCATCATTTTCTTCTTCTGGTTGAGGTTCTTGTTCTGGACTCTTCATGGTGACGTCATCATCATCTTGCATCAGCTCGTCGTCATCATCTTCACCTGTCAAATCGATCTTCACTTCTTCCCATGCTTTCTTGACATGGTCTTTGAGATCTTCTTCTCGAGGACGTGATTCGGCACTTGGTACAGTAGCCACGGTGATCTTGATTCGCTTCCTCCATCCATGACTTACCAAAAATCCTTTGCACATCACACAAATCGATAGTGGTGCAGGGGTCTCCATCAGACATGCGGGGCATAGTCGATGGTCCTCCTTGCTGGGATGATGAGTGACTGCTAACAATGATATTGCATCATTCCAATCCGGATGTCCAGGGAACAATCTGTGAGTATGACTGAAGTGACCGGTCTTGATATCGACAAGCTTTCGAAGTTCGTTCAGATCGGGTGATGATTCATCAGGCACAATGTTCCCAATGAGTTTGTCAAATCGTTCAATGGTGGCCACCCTCCTTGCTCCTTGCACAGAAAGTACAAGTTGATCTTTTCCCTTTGTGATCATGAGACGGTAGTAGTCCTTTTCCTTCCAATCATAGTACCAAACTGCATCGAATGATTCGAATGGAATTGTTTCTTGGACCAAAATGTGTCCGTCTGCTGATAATCGAGGGGAGAACTTGGCGATGGAATCGTACGTGATGTAGATGTAGACAAGATCAGTTTGTTCAATCTTCCTGAATCTCAGCACCGTTTGACTTCGCACGTCCCACGGTGCGAATGGCACGAAGAACGTATTGATGCGGTCGCCTCCTCCTCCGGGACGTAGTCCTTCTCTGAAGATTTGAGCGATGTTGTCAAAAGTGGTGCAGTGAAATCCTCCTCCAAGAGTGTATCCGACTCCAGGGTTCATCTGATAGGAAGTCTTCTTGTCTTCGATGTGCACACCGCCTTGAACTCTTGAATGTGCCATAGGGGCACGGATTGCCACCGGCCATAGCCAAATCTCTCGTTCTGCTGTGCCGATCTCCAACCTCAGTGTGTGTCGTTCAAGTCTCGAGGTCAATCCATCATTGAAGTTGTTCATGACGTATTCCAGCTCACCTTTTGTGACCTTGAGTCCTAGCACTTGGGCTCGGATCCTTTTCGTTTGCTTGTACTCAGTGAAGATCACTCTCTGGAAATTGTTCCACCTCTCAACAAGTATTGGGTAGTTGACGTGGGTCGTTCCAGCCAATGTATGTTGATCTCTCCAAATGTTGTCGTACTTCAAGATCGACTCGACATTGACCCAACCTGCTTCATCGCATGGTAGTCCACGGTGATTTCGATTGTCCTTGACGCAACCCACGGAGTGGCGTAGCGCTGCATTGAATCTTTTCGACAATTCGACTATCCATTGCGGATTTTCCCACTTGTTGCCCATCCACTCATTCTCGCCATATCGATGCACATTACTCCATCCATATCCAAGATATTCTTCTCCATTGATGCGCCATAGGGTGTCCTTCATGTTCTCGTCATCTGGTGTGGTACATTCATCAATGTCATGCATTCCACCACAAATGAAACAATACTGAACACTCGATGCGTCGGCAATCAGCTTCTCAAATTGATCACGGATGTTCCGCACCTCAGTTCGGCGCTTCTTCGCTTCCGAAGGTTGGCCCCCCATGTCCTCTTCTTCCTCCTCAATTTCGATGTCACCAGCTCCGGCATCAGTTTCTCCTGAAGTCTGTTCTGCTCGAGGGCCCCGCGCCGTAGGCGTCGTGGTCTCCTCTTCAGGCTCACCAACTTCATCCTCCTCCTCATCGCTTGATGAGATCTCAATCATTTCAGGATGGTCATCGTAGTTGGCTTCCGGGAGCACCGGCATTCTGGTGATCTTCTTCTGCATGAGTAGGTCGAAGATTCCCGCTTCTCTCAAGACTGTTGTCACCATATCGTTCTCGACCGGTGGGATGTATGCTTTCCTGGATCGGTTTCGCTTCGTGTTGATGGTGTCGGTAGGTCGACATGAACTGCTGAATAGCCAGAATGACTCTTCCAGTCCTGCGAGGCAACTGTCAAGGTTTGCCCCCCATCCACCAAACATAGTAGGGAATTGAATACCCAGGTCAAGCATCCCAAGCCAGAATTCGAAAATGTCGCCGACATACTCAGCTGTTGCGGTTGGATTGAGCATGGATGCGATCTCCTCCTTGGTCAACACGGTCTTCATGTAGTCATGATAGGCGACGTTTCCACCATCCCAAAGCAGTCTGTAAAACCATCGAATTCGGTGTGATCCACCTCCGCAATCCTCTGTTCGTGTTTCACGTTGCACATTGAATTGGGGCAACAGGTCTCGTCTGCATTTTCCTTTCACCATGTATGCAGGCATGCGGATGGCACCTCGATGTGATACCTGTTTGAGTACATCGCTTGTCGTCCTGTATCCTGATAGCATTGCAAGTGTCGCAGTGACCAAGAATCCACGGAGGTCCTTTTCGGCTTCCATTTCTCTCCAGTCAACGCATTCATTGTAGATGTTGAGCAATCTTGCAGCTACTCTTGCATCCTGTGAAAATTCATCCATCCCAATGTCTTCAGTTCCGTAGATTGCCGCTCTTGTCCAGTTGCTTGCGCAATTCAGACATCTTGTGCGGTTCTCAGTGCAGGTATTCAATCTCGAATCATTTTGATGAAATCCTTTGCACACATCGCACATCAATTCGGAATCTTCGGTCACCTCAACCCAATGCTCATCCACGTCTGTCAGGGGCTCCGGGGTGAA